GACCGCGACAAGCGTATTGAGAAGGAGTGAAGTTTGTGGCGAGCCCATGACCGCGACGCGATACGTCCCGTGACCGCGATACCGCCCGTGACCGCGACAGGATCGTGTGCCGTCTAGATAAGAAGAAGTTTGCTTGCTGGGGGCATGACCGCGACGTGACGCGACATGTCCCGTGACCGCGATACCGCCCGTGACTGCACCACGATTGTGGGCTTTCTGGATGGCTGTCCTGTGTATAAGTAGTTTAGGCCTGCAGATTATGTTGGAAAAAGGAATTAAGCCAACCATAAGCAGACAGTCTTATCTGTTCATAGATGTATTCTCTTACCTAGACAGCTTGTGACCGTGACGCGACGCGACGCGACGTGGAGGGAGCCACTGTCCCAGCCAGGAGGAAGAGGATTGTTCCACAAGCCTGAGGAGAAGCTGTTCTCTGTTGACTTCTTGTTGCATGTCTTAGTCCTGTTCATGCCCCATCCTTCCAAACAACCCACTCTTATCATCAGAAATTAATAATATAGTTAAAATGGAGTCATAGGTAAGACTCAAGCAAGTGCATTAGTAATAATTTGCAGAGAAAATTTAATTTTCTGAAGGGGGAAATGAGCTGATACCAGGGCTGTCATCTCTAGAGATTATGTATTGATAGGCAAGGCTCCCAGCCAGCCCACTAGTAGTAATTTCTAGGGAAATTTTAATTTTCTAAAGGAGCAATTGATTTAATAAGGCTGTCATCAGGCTCTCATTCTGCAAGCTATAGCACAGTAAACATGGTCAGGTCCATTGCCCTGGGTAGCCACTATACCATACAAGGTCCAACACCTACCTAGACTGGCTCAACAGCATTACACAGGCAATGGTACAGGCAATACTAAGGTCCAAAATAGGCAGTTATGGTGGTAACCTCCACAGTAATGTGACGTGACAGGTGGGGAAGCCTCCACCCCCGGTGGTAGGATCCCGGCCAGTGGAAGGGCTCCACTTTCTAGGGGATCATAGGTGGAGGGTTTGCCAAAGTACATTAACCTTATTAGGTTTGGGTCAGTGGTAGACTGAGGTGGTAAGATGAGTTAAAATGTGTTGTGGCTCAATGATACAGTATTCCTCAGAAGGAGAGGCATCTACAATCTTTGCCAGAAGCTCAGGGTAGCTGGTAAATGCTGTATTTGCAGTAAGCCAAGATGGGACCTGTTTATGCTTATGCACAAGAATAAAAGTTTGCATATAGCCCTGCAAAGGCATTTGCCAAACATGCTGAATATAGCCTGTGAGTTCCTCACTAGGTCTGGTTGGGCTTTTGAACTGGATATTGCTATTGCCTTCATGAGAACGTCTGCAACTGAACACATAATTGTGCATCTTAAACCTTAAAGGGTGCAGAGCTGCTGGGGGTAGAAATAAATCCCCTGGCTGATTTGGAGATCCAATGGGTTCAATGGTTGTGAGCCAACATGTCTGTCCTATAGAGTGAAGATAGTGCAGAATCAGATTATAGCCCCAGGGATCAATTTCCTCTCCCTTTGCTAGAATTTGTGCTTCTTCCCTTCCTGAAAGATGAGTGGCAGAATTAGGTAGTTCTGTAAGGGGAGCATGTGATGTGACAGCTGTGACTGATCACGTGACTGGTCCGTGCGCAGATAGCCCTGTACTTAAGTAGTTGGCTGTGGGGCTGTTCCCCCGGCTTTGGTATCAACTAGGCACCTGGACCCTCATCCCCTGACAGCATACCAAAGCCTCTATATCGACTCTGGCACTCTTCTAGCCCCAGTTGATCCTCTCTATCTCCTATATTCGTCCTCACCCTACTGTGCTTGCCTGCTCTTCCCCAATGACGACTCCTGGCGTCCCTGTCGACCTGTATTCGTACTGCCTGCTCCTGCAGAGCGAAATTACTCGCCTCGCCGACCGTCTAGACTGCCTTGAGTATGGTACGCCTGCTCCACCCCCTGCTCCCCCTTCCCCTGGTCCTATATTCCATGGTGACTGGGACGGCACTCGCTGGGTTCTTCCAACAGTCCCGGCCCCTACCCCTGCTGTCATTGCTGCTGCCCACACTTCTATACCACTCGCCGAAACCTTCCCTCCTACTGCGCCTGACACTGTCACGCGCTTCTCTTGTACGCTTGTGGTGCCTGACTCGGCTGTTGAAGGGTCTCCACCAAGCTCACGACACTTCCGGTGCTCAGTTGCGCGCGTACTCTGATCGCGCTGCGCCTGGTGACCGCCCGGGTCTCTATCCGGGAAACCGACCAGCAAATCGGGTGAAGCGCTTATTGCGCTTTGGGAAACGGTTCATGCGCAAGCGTGTCCGTGTGAAGAAGCAACGTCAGCCACCATCTGCTGAGGGACCTGCCCCCCCTCCTCCTGCCGCGCCTGTGCCTGTACCACGTGCCACGAAGATGGATGTCGACCGTGCCCCTCCGCACCGCTCGTCCACCATGATCCACGCCCAGTCTCAGGTGCCCCGCGCCACTACTGCGGTTCGACCTGCCACTCATCCGAGGGCCTCGGCCGCTGGTGGGCCAGCTGGGCATTCGCGACTGTCTTCCCCCCTCTTCCCGTCTTCCCTACCCCGCCAACCTGCTGCCGCCACTACCCAACCTATGCAGGCTGCGGCACCATCTCTTCCTACCCCCCAGCCTTACCCTACTCCCTTCGCACCCTCGGTGGTTATCAGCTGGAACACCTGGTGCAATGCACAACATCTTGGTTATAACCCAAAGGTGCAATGCACAACATATGGGACCTAACCCAGTCTCCTTCAACGCAAGAATTACTTTATTTCATTTTTATCATTTTTACCTGTTTTAGTGTCTTATATCAGGTATATACTGATGGGATCAATGTTCCTAGTGTAATCTATTGTTTGTGGAACCATTTTTGCAAGAGATCACTAATTTTGATCACTGTGTGATCTTGCATCGCTCCTACTTAATTTAATATTGATATCCCTTTTCTGCTCTATTAAGTCCATAATATTACATATCGAATCATCGGCCTGAAGAAAAGGTGATTTATCTTCATAAATATGATCTCATATTAGTCATATCATCTTCCCCTAATATAATAGATCCAGATATATAATGTTGTGCATTGCACTTTTGGGCTATAACCCAGATGCTGCACATTGCACCAGCTGCGAGAGGTGCGGTTATGGCCACTCCATCAGCGCTGACCAGCGCGTCACCTACCCCGATCGGCTCTCCTATGCAGATCGACGTAGCTCACGCCCGGCCGCGTAACCGGCAGACCGCCCGACGAGGGGGCGTACCTGCGCAGTCATCGCGCGTCATAGGCGACAACCTCTATTTCCCTGGCGATCCTGAATATGAGTTCGCAGAACCCTACACTCCGCCTATCCGTCGAGGCGACAGATCTTGAGGAGGGGTTGGTGTAAGGGGAGCATGTGATGTGACAGCTGTGACTGATCACGTGACTGGTCCGTGCGCAGATAGCCCTGTACTTAAGTAGTTGGCTGTGGGGCTGTTCCCCCGGCTTTAGTATCAACTAGGCACCTGGACCCTCATCCCCTGACAAGTTCATTTATCTCCTGAGTGGGCTGTAATATCTTTGCTAATTTTGCAGTAGCAGATGTGGAAGTAGCAGCCTGTGTATCTTTTATGATAGCTTCCGGTCGGCCCCGGCGGCATAGCTGTCGTAAAATTGTCAACTCCATTTTTGCTAAAATTCTTGGTCAGTTTTATATAATTATTCTAAGTAGAAAATATTTACAGCTTTGCTTGTTTGTCTTGATTTGACCCATGATCCCATTAAAATGTTCCCCTGCAAATTCACTGAGACCAGGAGATGGTCCCACAAATTTGAGCTGTTCAATATTGTGCATAGCAAGATGTTCATTGGGAGGAATAGTTGCATCTGTGAATAAGGCTGCTTTGGTTTTTCTGTATTCTAGAATATGAAATTTATATCTTTCTGCTTCTGTATCTGAGGTGCTAAAAGATGCAACAATATTCATAGCAGCCACTAGATGATAAAAATTCTTCAGGAGCTGGCTCTGAGTATCTGTACCTGCATACCAAAGCTCAGGCATTATCACAGGAAATATTGCTGTGAAAAGGATCAAGATTTCCTGTGCCTTCAAAGTACCATGGCTAGCCTCTCCAAGATTTATAGGAGGACGTCCTACATGAGAAGGGAGCTCTATATCCTGAATACATTTTCTGACAAATGCTAAATCTTCCTTAGAGAATTCATATGAACCCTCAAAGTCTACAGCCTGATAGTCTGTATCCTCTAAATCTTCATCTGGAAATTCAACTGCCATAAAAGTTGCAAACACTGAGTTAGCTGGTGTGGGAGTTACAGATCTGTCTGAGCTAGATTGTCCAGCCTTGTTTTTGCCCTTCCGAGATGACCTTCGGAGCTTAGGAGTTGCTTGTAGAGATTCATCTTCTGAAGCAGAACTATCCATAGAGGTCCAAGCTCCTGGGATTTGTGATAGACTTGGTATGACAACTTGTGACTGACTAAGTTCATTCTGAGATTCATACTCAGAGCTTTCCTCATATAGTGACATCAGCTCATCAGAAGCTTCAGCAATGTCTGAGTCCATAATCTTCTCAGCTTTTCTGGTTTCTGAAACTTCTGTTGCTTTGGCTACTTGGCGGCCTATACCCCAAAGTGAGTGAATATGGGTCCCACCAACTCCCTCTAGAAAATTATGCATAAACCCAAGGATAAGATGTTTTACAGGATTTCAAAGTGCAAGATCAAACATAGGTGACCATCTGACACCAGTCTTTGAGGCTTGAGCTTCTCTAGCAGTAAAGGCATTGATTGCTAGGAAAGCTGCTGCTGCTGCTCGAAAAGTCTCATTACTCCGGAATTGAATGAGCAAGCATGTAGAAACTGTTTTTTTTGGCATGAGGTTGTATTTTGATGGAAAGCAGGAAAGGCCGCATGGTAAGTAAGCATACATTGACAGATGTTTTTGAGCTCATAAGCAAACAGCTAACGCTGTAAAATTCTTTCTCGCCCACCTAGCGCTCGAAGAGCAGGCGTGTATACCCCGGCACATGGCTCCGCGTGCCCGCGCCACTCCTGCTTCCGCTTCCGCTTCCGCCGGAACGCGCACGTGCATCCTGGTCCTCGTCCGGCTGAGCCGCGAACTCGGCCTCCACCAGCGCCGTCCTCCGCGCCCACTCGCGCTCGTCTGCCGCAAGCAGCGCCGCGACATTATCAGCCTGCGCGCCGTCCCGCTCCACCTCCAGACGCCGCATCTCCCGCCGCAGCCCCTGCCGCGCCTCGACCCGTGCACGCGCCTCACGCACGCGCACACCGGCCAAGTCCAGGGCGTCATCGGCTGCCGCAGGCGCGGTCGATGTCGACGCCGCAGGGGCGTTCATGTTGGTCGCGGCCACATCCGCATTGGTCGTGGTGGCCAGATCGGGCACCGTCGTCCCCGCCGCCCGCGCCAGCGCGGCCAGCCAGCTGTCCTGCTCCTGCTCGCTGGGGAAGCCGCGGCCCGGGCTCCCGGTCGGGAGCGGCTCAGGGACGACCGGCGGCGGCGCGGTTCGGCCCGCGTTGTTGTTCGCCCGCCTGCGCTGGACGACCCCCGCGCGCGCCGTGGCCGCCTCCGGCAGCCCCGTCGGCTCGCCCGCACGCATCTGGGACACCAGCCGCCACGCCTCGCCGGCGGCCCGCGGGGGCGTCGGCCGCCTGTGCCACGTTTTTATGAGCGTAGGACAGCGGGCAGAGCGATAGTATGACTTACGGACTGGTCACGCGTGGCTCATTTAATATGGACCTACCGCCGACCATCGGGCCCAGCGTCTGACCATTGTCAGCCCCAGGTGCAGGGGAATACCACGGCGCCATCTCGCCCTCATCAGCATCGGTGTTCCTGCCCCAAATCAGCAGCAGCCCCACCCTTATAATAACACCAGCACTCACCTCCCCGCAACCCGCTCCGCGATCCTCCTCGCCACCGCCGCGCGCTCCGCCGCCACCCGCTCGATCCGCGCCCTCTCCCTCGCCACCGCGGTCCGTTCCGCCTCGCTCATCGCCGCGATCCGCTCCCGGTGGCGCTGCGCCTCCGCCTCCGCATTGCGCCGCGCCGCCGCCAGCCGCTGCTCCGCCGTCCCCACCGCGTGGCGCACGATCGGCGCGGCCGGCCCGGGCACTGGCAGCCCGCGGTTCGTCCGGTTCTGCTCCGCGAGCGTCCGGCCGATCAGCGCCCGGCGGTCCTCAAGGGCCTGGCGGCGGCGGTCTTCCGCTGGCGTCGGAACCGGTGGCGGCGTGCGCGCGATATCCAATATGCTTTGCAGCTCGGCTATCGGGAGCGGGCCGGCAGCGGGGTCGTTCAATGCTCTGCCCAACGCGGCGATCATGTCGTGCACGCGGTTGTCCGCTACTGTGGCCGTCGGGACCGGGACCGGGCCGGGAGCCGGCGCCCCGTTGTCGGTCGTCGGTGGTTGTGTTTGGGCCGGCGTCCGGACCAGCGCCCGCGCCTCCTCCGCCGCGGCCTCCATGCGGCCCAGCGACGCGTGCATGGCCTCCATCGCGCGATCCCACGAGACTGGCAAGCTGTCGTCCGTTGTCGTCGCCGTCGGGACCGGCGTGCCCAAGTCCACCGCCGTGCGCTGCATATCGACTATCTCGTCCACATTGTCGCTTGTCTGCGTCGGCGGTGATCGCCCCTCCGCGTGCGACGACGGCTGCACCCGCGCAAGCCCTGCGAGCCCTGTGGCCTCCATGCGGTCCAGCTGCGCGTGCATGTCCTCCATGGCGCGCTCCAACTCGTACCGTGCTTCCTCGCGGGACCCAGGGATCACCGCGGGATCCGGGCCGTGGACCGGCGGTCCTGCGGTCGACACAGGACTCTCTGCAAAATTCTCTGTCGCGGCCGGGGCTAGGCCTTGCGGCACCGGTGGGAGCGGGACCGCCGGGCCCAGACCCGCCACGGCCTGCCTCTCCTCTCCCTCTTCGTCGTCCTCGTCCTCGTCTGGACCAGTAACCGTCGAAAGCTCGGCGTTCCGAAACGCGCCGGCCGCAGCTACCAAACTGAGGTTGGCGTTCATCGTATCGTCCTCCCTGAAATGGGGGTCATTATCACTCACGCTCTGAAGACCAAGCAAAAAAAAACAGCCACACACCCGCTTTCATTCCCCGCCGCCTCCGAGTCGTTCAACTGGCTGTCCGCCATCCCCATTCGGGCCTCTTCTTCGGCTGCCCCGCGGCTTGTGCCAAGCTCGTCATCGCCATCCGCCGCGCGATACCGCGCCTGGAACGGCGCTGGTGCTGTCACTATAATGTCTCCTTCGTCCTCGTTTGTCCGCGCTTCTGCTTCTGCGGCGGAGGGCCCGCCGGGGTACGTGGTCGTGAATATGGCAAGGCCCGTGTCGCTGCAATTCCATGAGTAAGATGCAGGGATAAGATGGAGGGAGAGCAAGTAAAGGATAGGATGGAATGTGGAGCACAGAGCAAGGATACAAATAAGACAATGGCAAAAGACTGCAGTAATGAGACAGATAATATGAAGCAAAGCAAGAAAGAGAAGAGCGAGAACCATCCAAGAAACAAAGACGAACAAATGCGAAAAACTGGGCAATGAAGGGAAAAGAAACAGGTATAGCACGCACTCGACATCCTCCAAAGGGGGCGGGTCCCCCGCTTCTGCCTGCAGTCTTTCCGTCTCCCTCCGCGCTTCCGCATCGACCTCCATTGCGAACATCTCAATCGCCGTCGGCGGCTCGATCACGGGGAATGGTCCGACGGGCCCGTCCGTGTCCCAGCTCGGTGTTGGATTCCAGCTGGGTGGTGAATCCGTGGGGCGGGTGTTGCGAATGGGGAGGGTCATGAATGGGGGGCAGCGTGGCTGCGGGCGGGCGGGGCGTAGCGTCTGCTGCGGCGGTGGTGGGTGTCGTTGTGGGTGCCTGTGTCTGGGCTCTGCAGCCCAAGAGTCAACGGTAGAACGAGGAAAGTAAAGGGGCCACGCACCGATAACCGGTGAGAGCATCATGAATCGCGGGACTGACATGGCCCGGAAGGAAGACATAATGCTGTTGTCGGCGCAACGACCCGCTGCTGCGCGCCGTATGCGTCCTGCAGGGCGTGAACAGCGCCCCCAGCGCATTTCCACTAAGGCGTTATCAGCCAACTGGCCATCGAGGACAAGACAATCCACACACCAGACAGCACACCCGACACCATGGGCTGCACATCCACACCCGGCAGCCCGTGCCAACTCCAGCATCCGTGCCTCATCTGGGGCGAAATACGTGGTCTCCAGCGGGACGACGACCCCACTTGCGCCCTCTGGCGGGGCCACCCACCGCCCGCCTGCCCGCGCAGGGTGGGCGGACGCGTGGACACGTGCCCCACACCCATTTGTCCGCGCCACTGGTGAGGGTGTCGATGACGCTGACGCTGAAGCCGCCAGTGGCAGCGGCAGCGGGTTCGGCAGCACGCCTCCGTGCTCCTCCGGTCTCTCTCCTGGTCCAATCACGCCCCCACACGTCACCCCCCCTCGCATTATCGCTCTGCAGACTCCCCACCACCGACTCGCGCTGCGCCGGTCGTCGCCGCATCCGCGACTGCGTCCCTGCGGCCAGCAGGGCGGCTGCCGTCAGGGCGGGGTTGTCGTCTTCGCTCTCGGAGGCGGGTTGGGCAGATGGAGAAGGGTCCATGATGTCGTATGTCGTGGTACGAAGACAAGGGAGATCAGCGTGGGGAACGTGGCGGTGCAACACGTGGCCTCGGCGGACAAGGCCCGAAAGCTTGACCGAAACTGCGACCTCGTGCTCAATGCGATGCAGGGCATCTCACTGCGGGAGTTCAGGAATAAACGGCGCCCGTTTCGATCGATTATACACCTAAAATCAATGTATCAGAAAAATAATTTTTTTTGCACCTTTATTTGTGCCAAAAGAAATGCACTGATATGGTAAATATGCCCTTATATAACATATATCAGGGCCCTCGATCATATAAGTGAACCTTTTTTTGGCACAAATAGAGGTATAAAAAAAATCTTTTTTTGGTACATTGATTTTAGCGATATAATCGATCAAAATGGGGGCCGTTTATTCCCGAACTCCTGCAGTGTCTGGTGAACATGTGAGATTGATTGGCAGAGCAGTCCAAGTGCTGTTATGTAAGACATATCGGAACAGGGTGTCAGACACATCAGGGTTTCGGCCCAAAATGGCCACCCGAAGCTGAACTAATATAGCGGGAATAGAGATCCAAATCAGTGACAGTGGCCTAGATTTCCGATAAATCCTAGGCTATGATTGTAAAGCACGTGACATGGAAATTGCTATATTTGGTAATTTCTACGTCACGTGCTTGCGGATCTGGAGCGCTGATTTGTTGGAAATCAGGTGCCCATTTTTGGCCCCTGATTTCTCACAAATAAATCCAGCTCTGGGTCGCCGTTTTTGCGCAAAACCCCAATGTGAGAAGCTGCTCCACATTTACTGATATCTGCCAACATATCTGCCAACATTGTGCGCACTGCAAGGACTTGCAACTTCCTGCGGTATTGATCATCAGTGCCTGAGTGCTGTGAGATAAATGGCAAGCAATCTGAGTGAGCTGCTGTGGAATCTGCCCACCATGGCCTTACTTTCCCTAATACCCACAGTTCTCAGCATCCACAGCAGCTAATCCAACTCAAGTAATGCAGGCCCTACAATCAACCTCCATACCGCAGCAAAACCTCTCATTTGCTTCATTCATGTACGGCTGTGAGGCATATAAACTCATTACAAGAAATCGAGGGAAACTATTGTGCCCACTCGTCCTGGATCAGTATCTCAGCTATATTGGGTCAGCTTCTCACTCTTCAATAAGACTTAGATAATTGTTGATTGTTTTATACTTCATCTAATGTTGCTGCTGCTATAAAACAGATAACTTTACAGGACCTTTACTTCAGATTCAAATACCCAATGGATGCAGCTGCCACAGCACCACTCATTCAATCACTCCACATGCCTGTGATGCACCGGCGATGCATAGGGTGCCACAAACCACCAAGAACAAGCAACAAAGCTAGAAGTGGTGCTAGCTAGGGTACTGGGAGATGAGCGAGCGAGTAGGAGGCACAGCCGGTGCACAGCAGACGCACAGCCGGCCCGAGTCAGAGACGGAACGGGGCGATGCTGACGGAGCTGCTATGACTCATCGCGAGTCAGAGCGAGTCAGCGAGGTGCTAGGCAATGGGGGAGGCGATGTTAGCGATGGAGGGCAATGCGGAGGCTGTCCGTGACGATGGCAAGGGTATATATTGGGTGCAGATGTAGTAGGTAGATATTGAACTCCTCCCCGGTGTTGCAATCAGGCCTGCGTCCAAAGGGGCGGGGTTTCTATTTGTGTCTATGATCGATCGAACGGCCCCATGCAGGGGAATTATATTGAGAATCTGTCAACGTTGTTGTTCTGTTGCCGTTAACGCCGTCGGGCGTCGTCCACGTTGTCTGTTTGAAGCCCGAGATTGGACTGACGCCAGCCGAAACGTTCCCACGACCTTTGCCGCTGCGCGGAAAGGCTTTTTAACCACAAATACAACCCCTACCTACGTCATTTATACTCCCTGGGTTGCCACACTTGTATACTTCGAGGGGAACCCCCGAACACGCACGCAAATTGTCATCGAAATATTGTATTGGCTGGATTGCGGTACATAGGTTGGGTTTGGTTTAGTTTGAGTGTGTGTGTGAGTGTGAGCTTGTTAGCAGTCCCTTCCCTTCCCATCCATTGTCCCCTTGCCCATTCCTTTCCCCTCCCCTTTCAATTTCCACGCGTTTCACCTGCAAACATGATGGTATGACAAATGCTGCTAGACTTCTCGATGCCAACAGTGCAAGTACCAACATTTGAACTTGTTGCAACATTATGCATCTAGGAAGATAGTATTCCCAAAGGACTTTATAGCTGCAGCATTCATCCAATCACTGACGACAAACCTAGCAAACCTTATGATCTGGCAATATTCCTTAAGTTCATCAAACCAGCAAGTGCAATCAGATGCATTGAAATTTCTGGAGATCTTGTGTAACCAAGGGCATATCCTTCCAAGTAGCTTCATAGCAGTATCATTGAGGATATTCCGGCCACATCCGTGCCTAAATACACCACTCAGTGCTACCAGAGCGCACTCATATTATTCCTGCTACCCCACATCTCAATTTCTACCTGCCTTTACAGCTCTCAACATCTTTCTCACCATCTTCTCACTGCCACGTTATACGACATGGGCTGGGAACTCCCTCACGGTATCAACAGGTATCAACAGGCGCTTCCCGCACCAAGACAGTGATTGTCTGAAGGATAAGGCTGGCTTCTTCGCGTGGAACAAGTGCATGGAGTCTGGCTACGAGACCATCGATGTACTCGATATCATTGATGGGAGTACTCTAAAGCTCTCCAACAAAGATGTCGCCAAGGAATGGACAAAAAAGGACCGCACAGCCTACAACATACTGCTTGGGGCCATCAACGTGACACTCGTGGTCAAGGTCACTTCTGCTGAGTCGACTTATCAGACATTCCAGCTGCTCACCTCCGAATATGGCCAAAACGGCACTGGGAGTATCATACACTGGTTCCGGTTTATGACTACACCCCTTACATCTGATGAAAACCTTGGTACCCATATCAAATCCTTCCAAACTGCTGGTACCCATCTCGCAAGGGCTGGTTTTCTCATCCCCAGTCCTATTGCCAGTGAAATCTTCCTCACGACACTTCCTGCCAACCCCAACGATCCTAACTCTTGGCACAACCACATCCCATCCATTAAAATCGACAAAGACACTAAATTGGTTGACACGATTCAGCCTGCTTTGGATGCGAAGCGACGATCAACTGGTGAGGATGGTCAGGAGACGACTTTTGTGGCGAACGAGAGGGCTGTGCAAAGTTGTGGTAAGCTCTTCTGCCGCAACTGCAAGAAGGAAGGCACTCATACGAAGGACATGTGTTATGCTCCGGGAGGTGGTCGAGAGGGGCAGTGCAATTGACAGACAGCCCAACTTTTGACCTTGGGCTGGTTGGAGTATTCTGCATCAGTGTCCTTTTCTACCTGTAATGCAACGTGATTCTGCAAGCCTAATATACTGTTAAATGTAATATAGCCTTGCTAATGAACATGTACTGTCTTCTGGTCAGATTTTCCTGCAGCCAAAGATAAAGCTTTGCCCTTTTTGCCTTCTACCATATCCTCGCCATCTTCATCAGCTTCTTTATCAAGCCCAACAACCGTCTCTTTCCTTGCATATGTATAGCTTCCTTGATCTGCAGCTCAAGTCTCTCTTTATTTCTCAAGTGATATATCTCGAGCTCTTGGAGTCGGCGACACTTAGGAAACCAAAAGAGCGGGGTGCCAAATGTTCCTGTTGCAGCCGGCTCAATCCTGCTTTGGTTTTTGTGTCTCTGAGTCGCCGCATTATAGAATCAATTGTGCAGTTGCTGTAAGTCATCCAGTCAATCAATTTTATTCCCTCAGCAAACGAGACTTACACGCCCCTTTTCATTGTCTAGAACACCAATATAGGTTCTGTTCCACCTTGCTGAGCACTTTCTTCTCATCGCTGAGCTGCGCGGTCTAGATGATGTCTTACTGACAGAATGTCTCAGAGAAGGAAGGTGCCAGGTGTTATGCCAGGCTTCTCCTTGTGCTATACCGCTAAGAATCCAGCTACAGGCTCTTAAAGCCACTGCTTCTGAGTCTGGGTTAGAGTGTTCGGTCGGCCACGGTGTCTGGTGCTCATTTGTGACAGATCGCAAAGGAGGAGGAATGGTAAAGGTTGAAAAGGGGGGAGACAGTGATCAAAAATGCCCTTAGTACTAACGGTGAATTAAGCGAATCGAATTGATGTGCAGCAATGTCCAATTTGTATGGTCCTCCGGCCCTCCACCTATATCTTAGGCCTGTTACCATCTGATAAGCGGGCTATGTGCACAATCAACCTCAATGTGGTATGTCCATATGAACGGATATAGTCGTGCCAGTTTCTTCTCCCTTCCCACCTCATTCCCTTACAATCTTCTCTTACACCAACACCCCCCCACTTCCTTAGAATGACTGAGATCCCTACCGCCTTGTTAACTACAGCACTTAGTGATATAGACGCTATAGTTGCAGAGCTGATAACTCTCACTCACTCTGCTTTCCACCTCATCCAGCACCTAAATCATCGTCTGTACTTGCACTAACACTCCTTTAGGCGTCCTCCCTGCACATGTCAATAATATGGTGACCTATATATTAACCAACCATACTGAACGGCAACATGTCCATCAGTAGTGTAAGTAGCCTTGAGGATGTGTCGATTTGCGCCAAGTCTGTCAGGGGAACCCCCGCTTCGGCCTCCTTCGGACCCTCCGAACGCATCCGAGGCGCATCCGACCGGCGCCCCCTCGGACGCTCCGACCCACCCCGACCATCGTCCACGGCCTCCTTCGCCCGCACAATCACCGATCCGTCAAGACCCTCCCAACGATCACCTTGGGACAGAGCCTGCGACGCCGCCCAGGCCTTCTGCGCTCTACGTCGGCAGTTACGGACGACCAGTATATAGTTGGCGCCCTAGCAGGCGGACCCTTAGAGTTTCTTCTCTTTGGATCCTCCCCTGCTAGGTCGGTCCCTCCGTGTATTTCCTGTAGTCTTATTCACGCTTGG